AATATTTCAAAAACCATAACCGACCCGACCATGCATGGGTCGGTTGATATTATCGGCCCGACCAGAACGGGTCGGTTGATGGGTAATTATCGGCCGCAATAGTCGGGCCGATAATGGGTCGGTTGTCGGGTAAAATCGACCCATGAACAACCCTACTTACATGTTCATCCCAAACATAGATCGCTATATGCGACTTGAACCAACGCATAAACTCCAAATTTTCCGGCCCTCCCTCCTACGGACCCTCCAAATACAGCGGAGCATCCAAAATTCGAAAATTAATGCCACGACCACGTTTACGTGCCGACGCCATCATGATCATCATTGCCGTCATCATTAGCCACCAGCTCCTCGTCATCATCGCCGTCATCATTAGTCACCATCTCCTCGTCATCATCGTACGCGTATGCAACTTAGTACGAACATGACCGACGATCATCAGCAATAGGTATAGAAGGCCCGACTCCGACTGCACTAGATTTTTCCCTCACTCTCTTCGCTTCTTCTCTTGTCGTCGCTTTCCTTCTACGATCGGATGCAAGAACTCCCCGATCTCCAATACGATCCTGATCATCCGAATCGTTCGACTTCCGACCCAAAGCTTTCATTAAGCTCTTACCTTTTCCCGCAACTTGACTCATTAAACTTTTCCCTCTATCTCCGGCCATCTACAATTTAACAGAAAAACTGAATTAATATTTAATTTAAAAATAAAAATAAAAATAAATAAAAATAAATAAAAAATAAATAAAAAATAAATAAAAAATAAGAAATTAAAGTTGTGTGAAAACACCCGAGCAGATCAATTTGACTCGTGTGCAGGCACGCGAGGAAAATAGATATGCTCGCGTGTTTTCACACGAGCTGCAAAAAAAAAAAAAATAGAGGTCGTGTGATTTTAGTCGAGCTCCATGAATTGAGCTCGCGTGGTTTGACACGAGCACAAACCCTCTGTTCGCGTAATAACACACAACCTCCATTTTTTTAATATTTTTCAATAAAAAACATACGTATTTAAAAAAAAAGAATTACATTCATCTACTCACGTGGTTCAACACAAGTAACTCCACTGTACTCGTGTAGAATCACGTGAGTAATAAATGCTTCGTTTAAAAAAAACCAATAAATCGTAATCTACGTAACAAAATAATCGAAAAAATGTAAGAATTACTTCCGATCTGTTATCGTCTCGATCGGGATCTGAAATCGAAATCCAAAAGCTTGAGAGAATTTGTGAGGATATTTACCTTTATTTTTTCTTAAATGACGAAAAAAGTGTATGAACGATTAATGCGTCTGCACAAACCATATTGATGCAACTTCAAGGTAACTTTCTTGAAAGTATTACTTGAATAATTGAATTGGAAACTTTTGAATTTCAAATCTTGCGGCATGTGGTCTAATTTTTTTTTTTCTTTTCTATTTTTTTAGAAAGGACATGTGATCTAAATTAAACCGATTATAATTATGAGAACAACCTAATGATTAAGCGATCATTTGAATTATTTGCTTTAGTCAATTAAAATATTTATATTCTTTAAAGTCAGGTAAAATATTTCTCATTTTACAACTTTTTTAATTGAGTTAATTTAATAAGAAATCAGTTGAACATGCATATTTATCCGATAACTGATGTAATTAATTATATAGTTAGTTTGTATGATCCTCTTAGGATAATATGCGTTTTCATATACCTTTAGAGAATATAGATGTAGGAATCACATTGACCAATCCAAACCTTCTGATGAGATAATTTTTTTTTCAAAAATCTCTCATTCTTAATTTAATTAAAAATTATTTCAAGCTATAAAGAAAAATCAATCTGTTGAATTTTTCTTTCCTTGTGCCAACGGTTGAATTATGTGTAGCCCCTTGCAATAGTGCAGTAAGCCGTGATAGCGGGGAATACTATAGTAAGGTAAGTTGTAATTCAACTGACATAACGATGAATGTAGCTATAGTAAAGGTTATGCTGGAACGTGATCGGCTAGATTAACTAGGGACCGCATTAGTTTGGTATAATTAAGTTATATAAGCATCTTTGATTGATAGGTTAGACTTGACACACAAAGATTTTGTATTCCCGAGATTAACTTAGGTCATTATCAAGCGTGAGGAAAATTAATTTAGGATGATATAAATGATATGATTGATTGTGATCTACCTTTGGGCAAATATAATCGGGCCAAATTAACTACGGGTTATATTTGTCTATTGGACGTAAAGCCCATTAAAGAAAAATCGATTTTCTCGTTTGTCTACTAGAGGGAAGTGCAACTCGATAAAATTAGTGGGAGAACAATTAAATAATAAAAGTCCAAATATTTAATTGTAAAATCATTTAATATGAATCTCTAATAATTCACTTCTCTAACCTCTTAGATAATCATGTCTAAGAATCCCATAATGTCAATCTTCGACCAAAAACTCAATGGCCCAAACTACCTAAATTGGTTACGTAGTCTAAAACTTGTGCTCACCGTTGAGGGCGTCTCTATGTGCTAAATGAGAGACTTCCTGCCACAATACCTGACACTGTGACCGATGTTGAAAAGGAAACTTATGAAACATGGAAGAAGAACGACACTCATGCTAGGTGCTACATGATAGCAACTATGGAGCCCGCGCTTGCGAGAAAATATGAGTCTCACTTGTATGCTTTCGACATCAAAGTTCATCTCGATAGCATGTATAGTGAGAATAAATACATATTCAATTCAAAACAAGAATTCATAATTAATGTTTGTTGATATGTTATATGCAGATAAAAGTCATGCAATCAGCAATCCATAAACTTTCATCGCTCAAATAGTATTTTAAAATAGTATTTTAAACAGATAATAAAATTTAATTTTTCTTGTTCATATGATTTTAAAAGGATAATTTTTATACATCGTGGTTATTTGTGTAAAAAAAAAGTGTTTACATTTACTGTTTCCGTTACATAAATTATTAAAAATATTAAATGCCTTGAGGGTTTTAGTCAGGGGCGAGTCCACCCTTGGGCAAGGGTGGACTCAAGCCCACCCTCATTTTTTAATTTGCACCCTATAGTATACCATATTTCTATTTAGCTCATCCAAATTTTATTAACTAGTCCACCCAAAATTTCAATTAATGCAAAAGAAGTCACATATTTTATTAATTAGCCTACCCAAAATTCAAATTATTACAAAAAAGTCCCAAATTTTATTAATTAGCCCACCAAAAATCCAAATTAATATAAAAAAAAACTCTAAAATTTGTTTTTTTCGTTTCTCCTTTTCCTATTTTCAAAAAAATCCTAAAAAAATCTCGAGGGCGCTGCCTCCGAACCCCCGAAAATTGAAGCCCCCCCCCCCCCCCCTCTTTCTGTACCGAATTCCTGGACTCGCCACTGGTTTTAGTTAAATCCAAGAAATACATGTAAAGATAATGAAGAAGATTTTGAACTAGACAAGAAAGCACACAGTCTGGGGTGAATGTGTGTGAAAATATTTGTTAATGTCTGCAAAGCGAGTTCCCCTTTCCTACAATTACAAGCACAACTTTTGCGTTCAGCAGACCTGATCTTGGTTCTATTTTGCATTCACATTTTTTTTCTTAAAATTAAAAGAAACATCAAAATGACAAACGGAATAATCAAAACACACTGTAATTACTATCCTAAAAAAAACATTTTTTATATTTAATGTTATGGAGTAGATGTTTAACTAAAAAGACAAGAGAAGATCTACAAATGAATATTCTAATGTTTGGTTTCATCTCGTTGGCACAAAGAGATGGTTGAATTAATCGTTATATTGATGTAATTGACACTAATCTCGTACTCGTATAAGAAATCATAAAAAAAATGGAAGGTTGTGAGCAATAAAAGAAAAACAAATTTCCTGCCCCTCTTCGAATCTAACGTAACAGGTAGCAGGTCAATTTTTTAGTAAAAAATGAATTAAAGTGCAAAGTGCGAACTAGATGTAGTTGGATAATCCATTATGAGTTAAATGCAAAACCCCCTGTGTTAATCCTAAAGACCAAAAAACCCCCCGGGATAAAAAAAGTGACAAAAACCCCCCTAATAAGTGTACAAACGTGCACACTCGACCCATTTTATTTTTATCCGTTGACTGCTCGTGAAAAGACGAATAAACCCTCAGATAAATCTGTCCAACATCTAAATTTTATGACCCAAATGAAGTTTATAAAATTTTCAATTCAGTCCCTAATATTTTCAATTAAGCCATCTTCCCCAAATGAAAAAAACACACACACACAAATACCCAGACTTTGATTTTAATTTCTCTGCGCACCCCACCCCACCCCACCACTGCCGTCGCCGGCTCCGTTCAGGACCGAAACCCCTCTCCGGCAACCAACCAAGCAGCCACATCACCGTACGGATGCATCCACGTATCATCTTCTCCGGCAACGAACTCCCTCTCAACTCAAAATTTCTTACGAAATTATTTCAAGAAAAATAAAAATCCAAAGTTTCTTCATTTCCCCAAAACTGGAGTATAACTCCAGTTACGCATTCACATTTGCCATTGCCGTGGTTATGGAAAGTGGGTGGTTTTTATCTATTTAAATATCATTTTTATTTTTTCATTTTTTTTCATTTTATTTTATTTGTGTAGGTGGGTGGTTGGCAGGGGTGGAGTGGTGGCAGTTTGGGTAGCAGGGGAGGGGTGGAGTAGTATGATATTTTCATTTTTTTTCTTTTTAATTTAGTTAAATATAATTTATATTTTTTAGTTTTTTTTGAATTTAAATATTATTACAAATTCATCAGTAGTTTAATTGTTTTATGAGTGTAGAATCAGATGGGCAATTTTGTCCTTTCACGCACAAAATGAACAAAATTCGCACAAAGATTAGGGGGGTGTATGGCTTTGACTATTGATTACAGGGGGATTTTTGTCAATTTTTTTATCCCAGGGGTTTTTGGTCTTTAGAATTAACACAGGGGTGGTTTTTGCATTTAACTCAATCCATTATGCTATATTTCCAATTTAAGGTTGCAAAGTTCCAATTTTTTCTTGCGAATTTAGAATCCGGGCCAATTATTTTGGGGAGAAAATCTTGAATATAAAGCTTAAAGCCCACGCAGCCCTGCAATCAGCAACGCACAGCAGAGATGGCGGTAACAAAGGAGCAAGTTGAATCAACCCTAAATTCCAAGCTCAATCCTTCTCATCTTGTAATCTTTCATTTACCCTTTTCCGCTATTCCTTAATTCCTGCAGTTTTCGTTTTTCTTCATTTTCTGAAATTGCAAAATTATTCCATATTATCCGTACCATGTTTCAATTAGCTAATTAATCAGTCGTTAGTTATGTTAGAGGAAAGTTTTGATCTACTTCTCCATATGTGATTCTTTTGGATTTCTGTTTAAATTGAAAATCAGGTTTCATTTTGATTTACAGAAAGAATATCATTTACCATTTGCTTCATAAACTCTTGGGTAGCAGGTGGTTAGTTGACAATTTAATATGGAAACTGTGAAGCATGATTTTTCTTTTCCTTTTTCTTTTTCTTTTTCTTGTTGTGGTGTATTTTCGTCGTCGATTAGTAGGACAATCTATATATGTTTATATGTCCAAATTAACTGAATCTCCCAATTCATGTTTTCGGAAGAAATAACCGACTAAGATACCTGACTATATTGTTTTGTTTGTCTCTCTCACATTGAAGTTCTTGAGGGGAAAGAAGTGAGTTTTTAACAAACGAATTATATGCATAATAGTGCCTTGCAGTTGGTTTAGTATTTTATGATCACTCATCGGAAAATCGTCACTTTATGTAGGATTTGTTATTCTTTCACTTATTTGTTAAGTGAAAATCATCTAGAAACTAGTTGATTATTGAATCTGATTTTTTATTTGGTACTATTAACTCTGCTTGCATACTGACTGAAACTCATATAATCTCTTTCCGACATAGAAGTCTATAGGAAAGAGCTCTAGTAGTCTTGCTCAGATAATTTCTTTATCTTAAAGTTTGCAGATCTTTTTAACTTAAATTTAAAGGTTAGTAGTATTTTTGCCGTTTATTCGAGCACATAATCAATCTGACAATGAATGAGGATATATATAGAGTACTGAATAGTGGTAGTGTGTTAATTAAAAAAAAATGTTAAAAGTTGGTGCACGTGTAGTTCTCTCTCTGTAAAATGAAACGTGACACCCAGTATAGAGTCTACAGTTATTTCGTTTTGCTTGTAAGTGTTTTTTGAACTATGCAGCAAAGTCAGTATGTACATGTTTAACAAATACTATTTTTGAATCCGATGACAAGTATTGGCATTCTTGTAATCAAAGTCTTGGAATTTCACAACTAGTTTGCTGGATCAAAGGGGGGTTTTTAATTTCAAACAAAGCAAATGCAGTAATTGACGATTGAGTTGTGGTCGCTTAACCATGTTGGAAAATTCATAAAGATGTGTCCCGAGTATGACTTTGTTTTGTAAGGGGCTAGCTAATCCTAGCCAAACATTCATTAGGAATCATTAGATTGCAGCACATGCTTAATTAAGTTTGGAAAACAAGCACTACGTCTGATGATGTGGTTATGATCTTTGGTTTAATTTATGATGGTGTTGCTGAATGGGCAGGATGTGAGTGACACGTCTGGGGGATGCGGTGCGAGTTACTGTGTAGAGATAGTGTCGGAGCAGTTTGAAGGGAAACGGTTGCTCGAGAGGCACAGAATGGTGAACACTGCTTTAGCTGAAGAGATGAAACAAATTCATGCTCTTTCCATTACTAAAGCCCTCACCCCTCAGCAGTGGGCCCTACAAAACCCCCCTCCTCCAAATCCTCAATCACCTCCTGCTGCTGCCTGAAATCAATCTATATCTATATATATATATATATATATATATATATATATATATATATATATATATATATATATATATATATATATATATCACTACTAAACTTGTGCTTCATTCATGCCTTTCATTCTGTTAAACCACCCTTGTGAGGTTTAAATTGCTGCTGCTGCTTTTATTCATACTGATACTGATACTAACTAGTAACTACTACTGGATATTAATTATTGCATTTGCATTTGACAATAATTTCCACACATCTTCTTCAACCTGTTTTTATTTATTTATTATTAATTTGGTTATGTGGTTTGGGTGTGGTGTGAAACCTGTGCCGCATGTTCTATAGATCCACGAAAACCACTGGACTAATAAAAGTCATGTTTGATCAGGACAACATTCGTTTAAACCCCACATAATTACAACCAAACCATTTTAAAACTAACATCCAAGAGTATAAATTACTTTGTACATGGATAGGTTTTAACCACCAATCAATCCATTTCGATCCATATTTTTTTGCGGATAATCAACCATCAACCAACACAGTTAAGTAGGGTCGATAATGATTTTTAATATGCTAAAAAGTTGGTTAATTGGGTAATATCGGCCAACAAACTTTATTTATCAATTTATTATTTATTAATTTTATTTAAAGTGTTTAATATTTTTAATTTTTAATTTCATTTTATATCACATTTATTTAATTATCTACTTTGAACTATTTTAATTTTGAGACATGGCCTAAATATTGGAAAATTATTATTTGTTGAATTATTTATGTTAAATTGCAATGCATATGGCTCGTAACGTTTTGCATTTTTTATTCGAATTTGTTGAACTACTCATGTTTAATTGTAAAAAAATGTTGTAACAATTAATAAAATTTAAAAAAAAAAAAATAAAAAAAAATATTTAGATGAATGGCCTATCAACCAAACCATCAACCGACCTACTAAATTGGTTATCAACCACCACCCAACTCATATAAATTGGGTCGATAATAGTTTTCAATATTTATAAAAGTTGGTGGGATGGATTGGGTTGACTTTATGGCTCGTTTTTAGCCAACTCAACCAACGCACAACCCTTTAAATTAGTCTTTGGCTCTTTGCTAATTTATTTTAATATTTTGTCATTGACGTTGACAGATCAATTAAGAAGAAAAAGAATATCATATTACATTAAAGGTTTAATAACAGTAAATTCAAAATAAAAATAAATAAATAAAAGAATTATGTGGTGAAGTATGGGAAGCTGATTTGTTCGACCCTACACCCGGTGAAAAACACCGGGTGGGTCTTCAGCTGCCACGTGTCTCTTTTTTGTATTTTATAATAGATTCTCCGCTACGGATTACCTATAGGAGTTTTAGAAAAATAAAAAAAATAGTATACTCTAATCTTCTCAATCTCAAGTGACAACTACCACCATCACTCCCAAAAATATGAAAAATACACCCAACAACCAAAGAACATAAATAATAAATATATACCTAAATATATTATAAATTTAAGCAAAAAAAAAAAAAGGAAAAAATAAAAAAAATGAAAAATGAAAGAGAGTTCCAAAACGAAGGCATACCATATGAAGTTGAAGTTTGTTGAAGGCATCATCGGATTGAGATATGGCTGCCACAACAAAGTTTATGCAACACCCAATCCCAGGTCCACACGTGTTCCCTCGGAAACCAGTTATTACCACCAAACTTGTTCAAACTCCCAATCTCAACAACAAGCCCATCATTATTGGATTCAAATCTCCACAAAATAGATTTATTAACAACCATATATCTGCTGCTGCTGCTGCTGCTGCTCTTCATAATGATTTGAGAGGAGAACCCACCGCCGCCATTAAAATACACCTTTTCGCTGCACTACAAGGTAACAACAACAACAACTACACCATTTCCTAGGGTTTCTTTCTTATTCGTTTCTCCTTCTTTTGATTTCAGGGATCAATAGAGGCATTTTTGGAGTGTCGTCGGAAAAGAAATCGGAAATTGAAAGCTTTGTTCACCTTCTCGAGTCTCTAAATCCCACTCCTCACCCTACTCTCTCCCTACATAAGGTATGTGTGTGTTTCTGTTTGTGAATGAATTGAATTGAATTGGTGATAAAATAAATTGATGTGTTTTTTTTTTCTTTTTATGAGTTTTGCTGGTGTGCAGATAGATGGAAATTGGAGGCTTATTTACACCACAATTACTATTCTCGGCTCCAAACGAACTAAATTGGGATTGCGCGATTTTATTACTTTGGGTGATCTTTTCCAGTCCATCAATTCTGCTCAGGTTGGTTGTTTTTTTTTTTTTTCTTTCCCTTGTTTCTTATTGATTGATGTTCTACAAATTGATTTTGGCCTAAATCGTCCGAAATATTACATTTTCTATAATTGAAAAAATGAATCTGAATTTGCACAATTATGTAATTCCTCTGCTCAAGAATTGAATACCTTCAAAATATATTCAATGTATAGCCGAACGTTCGTGTTTTCATTTCAGTAGATTGTAATGTACTAACACCGGGAGATTTTTATAAAGGGTAAAGCCGTTAACACGGCCAAGTTCAGTGCCAGAGGTCTGAGTTTGTTGAGTGGACATTTAACAATTGAAGCTTCATTCAAGGTCGCCTCAAATTCGGTCAGTCCTACATATATATATATATATATATATATATCCCTTGCATTTATTTATTTATTTATTTAGATTTTTCGATTGTTTGAACTCTCTGTAGCGAGTTGATATCACGTATAACAAGTCAGCGATCACTCCTGATCAGGTACAAAGCCACTGCCTAATCTTTAACTAGTACTTCAATAAATAGGCCTTTTGACAAAATCCCAGCTCAAAATAACCGAATCGAATCGATGGTGTTTTATGAGGTTAATTTGATTTTGCATGTTCTGTTACATTTCTCAGCTGATGAATGTGTTCCGCAAAAACTATGACCTTCTTCTTGGAATATTTAATCCGGAGGGCTGGCTTGAGATCACGTATGTTAATCTACTTATTTAAATTTAGTCTAGTAATTTAACAGAATTAATATTGGATCCTCGTGATTTTTCACTTTTGTGATCACACAGATATGTTGATGATTCTTTGAGAATCGGCAGAGATGACAAAGGGAATATCTTCATCTTAGAGAGACTACTGGAGGAGGGTGATAACCCCTGATCGATCGATACATTATTTGCTGACTTACGATTATTGGAACGGATCCGCATTTTTGGCTATGGTTAGCTAAAGATACGAAAATCCCATTTTTTTCGTTTTCTTTTCATTCATCTAGAATTATGTGGAACCATTATACTTCTATTCTTCCAGTTACATCTGGAGAGAAGCCACACCCGAAACTTCCTTTATTTATTGTACACTGTTGTTTCTGTATTGCCTCTGACCCTCTTATGTAAATATTGTATTAAACGAAAATAAACAGACTTCATTACTCTTGGTGCAAAATATACATACCTATGTTATTTACTTATTCTTTTCACAGATTTGTCACTAAATTGACGATGTTGACTTTGAGTTTTAAGGATTGTTGAAAACCAAAAGCCTCATCTTGGCTCTTTGAGGTGAGGAAGTGTGTGTGTGTGTGTGAAGTCCCTTCACTTGTTGCTCCGCCAAAACTTAGCTCTAAACGACTTGTGTGTTTTGTGGTTTTCGAACACACAATCTCTGTTTGGTTCATGGATTTTGAAATAAATAAAATGAAAATGCAAATGAAAATGGAGAATTTGAAAATTCCGTGTATGCTTGATGAGACCTAATAACAATATTTCGGATATCAATTCTTAGATAGTCCAAATCAAAGGGGTGGAAACCGCGACCTATTCCTTCAATACTAATCTCAATATTTATTCAACATTCGTCCATCAAAATATGCCAAATTGACAACCTATTTATAAAGCCTAAAAAGACTATTTTTTTCACTAGAAAATGACTCATGCCTAAACTATAATAAGGAAACTTATAATTAAGCTAATTCTAACCATAAAATATATCTAAAATAATAAAATATAATATATCATAAAATAAAGACGTGCATAACTAAACTAATTAACTCAAACTTCAAGTCGACTTCACAATCATCCTTCTAAATTTGTTGATGTTTGGTTGTGCACGTGCAGAAACTTCTAGTTTATTTCAACACTAATCCGATTGGAATCTCTCTTTTCTTCAAAACATGAAGGTTGTAGATCTTTCAATTGACTTTCCTCAGCAATTCGAATCAACTTAATTGGACGTCAAGTGGGAGAGTTATAATCCGAGTGGTAAAACCTGCCAGAATCACATGGGACTTTTGGGATGCATGAAATTCAATTTGTCTAAAGAATCCCTCTTTCTTTTCTCCCAATTCGAAACCATGGGCTCTTCAATCAACTCCCTTGTTTTGATTCTAGTCATTTCAAATACGAACAACTCCAATAAACTCGCGCACTTTATCTTCTTCCCCTTCTTCATGTTGAAGTTTGTCAAGAACGTATCATACTCCCCTTCTTCAAAAGGATTCGTACTCGAATCCGAACCAATACCCAAAGGAGCATATATAATCTCTCTTTTCATGGTCAACTCCTTTGGATGATTTAGAAATCTTTATACTTCTGTCCCTATAAACATGAATCAAAATAACTAGGCAGAGAAGAGCTAACATTAGAAATAAAACCAAACACCGCAATCATTTTCTTCTCGATGTATTTCCTTTCACCTCCACCAAATATCCATGGCTTATCAATACGATTTGCAAGCACAAGTGGAACTACCTCACAAAGAACTTAATCTTTGTACTTTTCAATGGATACTGATAGAAGTACTTGGCAGTGCACCTTGAATTCTCCATCCACCTAAAATCTTTGTAGCTCGTAGGATCTAGAATACTCCATTTGGAATGGAAGTGCAAGGTTCACATTCATGGAATGGGCTAGGAACAATATCATCTTCCCGTATTGCATCGCCATCTTCATCAACTTCAATAATGGAAGATTGTGCTCCGATTAGCTCGACATTAAGTTAGATACTTGGGTGGATTGTATCAATGGAGGTCATACTTCTTCCATGTCTCAATTGTCGCAGTCTCAACAACAGCCGCATTCACATGAAGAACATCATGATGTCTTTCTTTGAGCACATAGATACGCTCTTCAATAGTGAACACAAGTTTTGGATTAAGGATCCAATTCGGGTTGTTAGTGCCGGTGAGTTTGGTTTGGTCAAGGATCAAAGCTATTCGAGAAAGTTTTAAGAACATAATAGTTAAAGACAGTTTGTAATTAATGATTACAATTAATTTTTATGACTTTTGCTATTTAATTGTTCTGCTATTAATTATATTGAATTCTACATAAAGCGTGTTTTTGTAACGGGCTTTAGATCCAATAGGGCAAATGTAACCTCTAGTTAATCTAGCCCAATTACGTAATAGATCTTATCAATCACATCACTGTGTGACCCTAAATGTAGTTTACCTCACACTTGACAATGACATAAGTTAATCTCCCGAATATCAAAGTCTTCGTGTGTCAAGTCAACCCTACCTGTGTCAAGTCAATCCTACCAATATATGAGATGTCATAGATCCAACTCGATCAAACTAATACAGTCCCTAGTTAATCTGGCCGACCACGTTAATTCAGTAGACTTTTATATATAATCGTATGAACGACAATTAGGTTCTTCTTTATAGCTTGATTATTATTCTTAGGAATTAAGAATGCGAAATTTTAAGTTATGAGTATCTTACCGAAATTATGAATTAGTTTGATTGTGATTCCTACAACTATATTCTCTAAAATGTATATGGGATAACGCATATTGATCCTAAGAGACATAAGCAATAAATGCAAAAAAAAAATAAAAAAAATTGACAGGCCTCATTTATTAATAGGAGTTAGGACAACTAAGAGTGATACCCATTGATTATTGGGGTTATATGAGATAACCCCTTTATTTAATTTCCTAAGAGGGATAAGTCCAATTAATAATCCTACTTTTGGCATAACCCCCTTCCATAGCAAAATACTTATATTACCCTTGTGGTATATTTTTTAATTTTAATGAATTTTAATGTTTAATTTAATTTCTCAAAATAACTTCCCTAAAAATCCGCCTAATCCCCCAAAATCTCTCAAAAAATCTCAAACCGTTTCAATTACAATAAATTACTTTGTTTGATTCTGTTTTTAATTTAGGCCTTTTTTTGCGGATTTTTTTTTTTAAATTTTGATTAAATTGTGTTTTTTTTTAATTTATTTTTATTCTGAAGCTTTTTATAAGAAAATTATAAAATTTTGATTTTATGAAAAAAAAATATTTTCGTTATTAATATTGATTTTTAATATTGATTTTTTTTAAATTCTCTTTTTACATTTCGTTTTAAAAAACAAAGTTTTTAACAAATTGAAATTCACTATAAACTTATCGAAAACCACTATGTAATCAACGAAAACCACTATGTAATTAATGTATTCTATTACAAAAATTCATTATAAACTTATCGAAAACCACTATATATTAATGTAGTTCATTACGAAAATTCATTATAAGCTTATCGAAAACCACTAAATAATTAACATTATCTATTACGAATTCGAAAATTCATTATAAGCTTATCGAAACCACTAAATAATTAACATTATCTATTACGAAAATTCAATGTAAACTTATTGAAAATTTCAGTTTTTAAAAAATATATTTTACTTCCGGCAGGTTTACAAAAAAATGAAATTCACTACACATTTATCAAAATTTATCGACATTCATTATAAAAAAAATATTAAAAAATAAGTTAAATTGTCGTAATCCATTGTAAAATTAACGTAATTCACTATTCACTGTCTAAGTTTAAAATCCACTATTACGGTACACATCAAAATTTATGAACATTCTCTATCTAAAAAAAATAAACGTAATCCATTGTTTACTGCCTGAATTTGAAATCCACTGTTCAATGTCCCTCTAACGTAATCCACTATTTAATTCGCGTAAGAATTCGAAAACCACTATTTACGAAAACCACTATCCACTATTCATTGTCTAAATTTGAAATCCACTATTCACTGCCTAAATTTGAAATCCACTATATACTGTACGCATTGTCAACCCCATCCCTCTAACGTAATCCACTATTTAATGTCGAAAACCACTATTTACAAAAACCACTATTTACCGTAAGCGCATCGACACCGCCTCCTCTATTCCTCGCACCTGCAGCAGGTATATTTTGTCTGAAATCCAATACAAGTTCATCAAAAATCACTACAAAAATATATAAATCCACTACATAAGATCCCTTTACAAAGAGAAAACCCACAAAAAACTTGCCTAAATTCACAAAAAAAAAATCCCCTTTAATAAACTATGTCATTGCAGACAATAGTAGAGTCACCCGAGCATCACCTAACGTCGTCCTACTTGTTGCCATCAGTCCGTTTGTGCAAAAACCAGAACCAAAGAAAAAGAAGACAACAACGTGTAAATTTAATTCATTCAAAACAAAATCGGTTTACAAATCAAGAATTTAAAATTTACTACAATCTCATCCAAACCCACTACACAAAATTAGAAAGAGAAATAAATATATAAAACTTACTAAACATATGAAACTGACTAAACATTCTCCCTCACGAACAGAACATGAGTTTCCATTCGAATGGAAGGAAATACGATATTAAATTAAATTATTATTAAAAACTGTGCATTCCCATTTATTAAAAAAAAAAATTCAATTAAAATTGAAAGCCTCCGAAAAATCAAGTAGAAAAAATTGAACAAGAAATAATCAAATTTCTCCATACTTTTCAAATTACCCTTACATCTCGTCCATCCCATCGAAAAAAAAAACACAGGACACGAAATAATCAAAATTCTCCATACTTTTCAAATTACCCGTACATCTCATCGCTCCCATCACAAAAAAAACACCGGCTCTTTTTGTGTTGTCTGGGAAGATGGAGATCCCCGCCCTAGAGGATGAACGAACCGCGGCGGCTAATATGGTGGATGACAAGAAGGCAGACGCAGGCGGTCCATTAAGGCGGTGATGGTGACGAAGCGGTGGAGATCTCACGTCGGCGAAGATGACCGAAATTTGGAGGAAGATATCTCTGCTATTGTAGAGGAAGAGAGAACTTAAGGGGGAGGGGGGGGCGGGG